GTTGATCAGGGTATCAAAGAGGCTCCTGAAACAATACAGACCATTGCCATTGCCCGTGGTTGCCCCCAGAACTTAAAAGGAAGACCCTGTTGTCAAAGACTCCATGTACTTCAGAGACAACAGTTGGGAGAATTGAGCTGAAACTGCACATGGAATCCTCTTCCCTGAGGAATCCCTCTGACAGTATGGGAAGCTGCCAAGGGAGAACAGTCACCAGTCCATTGCATCTATGAAGCAAAATACCCCGAATGCTGCAATAGTGACATTTTCATCTTGGAGTTAGCTGATAGCTCTTTCCTTGGACTTGAGGCTCAGCCAGTAGAAGGGAATTTGTGCAAGTTCCAGTGACTGGAAGCCTTATAGACCACAGAAGTGAACCTACTGCTTCCAGTTTCCTATATCAAAATAATTTCTTACTATTTTATGAATACTATCCCCATACCCAGAGATCAGTGTGATTCTCACCACTCATTAAATAATCTTTTTACAACATATGGGGATGGTTACAGAGATCTGCAAGTGCTCAAAATGCAAAGAACATGTAACTATGGAGTATCCAGTCCCAGATGATACATCTAGAATGCCACCCCTACGCCAAAGGATCAGGAAACATCACAGAGATGGGGTGGAAAAAAATGTAAGATCCAGAGGTCTAGGACACCTCCTACTACATAGTGTATTCTAGACATTAAAGAAATAGTTCACCCATGAAATCTCAACAGTATGGTTTCATAAAGAAGACCTGAATAATGACAATACCAGTTGACATGTCAATGTGGATATGAGAAATTTTACAAAATCCCACCTCCAGATGAAGAAGTACAGGCAACCAATCACTGATTGAAAGAGAATCACTTTTCTCCAAAGATGAGCTCCCTGATAGCTTATCCAATCCCATGTGGTCATCCCTAAATACATGTACAAATGAGTACCACTAATGGAGTCTGTAAATGTGTGTGTGTGTGTGTGTGTGTGTGTGTACATCTGTGTATGTATGCTCATATGTAACCATAGCTCAATAAGAGACCAGGAAATTGAGAAGGCATAGGAAAGGGACCTGCAAGAGTTGGAGAGAGGGTACGGAGAGACAGGAATGATGTAATTACAGTAATCTTATATGAAAATTTCCAAAATGTAATTTTAAAAAGGTACAGGCAGTTGAGGATGCTGTCTCCAGCTAAAGGAAAATCTGCCACACAGATTAATAATGTTTATATCTTAGAGCCTGCAGTGATCTGACTCTCTCAGTCCAAATCTGCTCTCAAGACAGATCTCCTATTGGTCCAGTGCTAAGTGGGTGACTTCTTTTATATCATGAAGGGCTTCAACAACTACCACTTTCTTGTTTGTGATTTTAAATTAATTAATGCATCCTTTCTGACCAAACTACATTTTCAACTGTTTTCAGAAAAATTCTGTTAACCGGATCTGAGAAGCAGTATATACCAATATGCATAGATAACAATTATGATAAAAAGTTGCTTGATCAATAAAGTCTAAGAATAGTCTGAAAACTGATGGCCTCACAGGCCTCCATTTTGAAATACATCCTCAATGGAGAGTTATCATTCTTCTTGTCTATAAATGGAAGTCATTCAGTTTCTGTATGCGTGAACTTAATTATGTGCTTTCACTATGTCAGTACACTTGCACTTTCTAAAAATCACAAGTGACATTTTGATAACGAACAAAATTTAATTGGAAGTTATAGAAAAATAACTTGCTCATAATCTGAAGCATGTGAGATAACATTCTGAATATGCAGATGTTGCTTTGCAGTATTTTCCCATGAACATGAATTATAATCCATGTAAATCCACAAGTAATTTGCAAACCAGGAGAGGTTCATGGAAAGTTTTTTCAAAACTTAATTAATATTCTTAGATATTATGTTCACTATATTTGTGGCATGTAATTTTTAAAGAGTTACTGATGTGTTTTTTTTTATGAAAATAGTAAAACATTATTTTATATTATGTAGTTAAACATACAAAAGAGAACACAATCAAAAATGTGTTTCACATTAAGATACTCTAAAACACCAATGAAATATATAATAATATACTTTGTTATGAATTCTCTATCAAATATCCCCCATATTGTCTTTTTGAAACAGGGTCTCCCTGTAGCCTCAGCTGGCCTGGAACTCACTATGTAGACCAGACTGGCCTCAAACTCACAGAGATCCATCTGCCTC